CCTCAGACCTGCTTCCTGCCGCGCACGGGAGCCATGGGAACCCGTAAGGCGCTAAAGTGTCGTGGGCCCTAACCTTTGTCCTTACTGCTTCAGGCGTTGAGGCTCCCAGAGCAAGGACCGGCCCGCCCGGCGGCTCCGAGGCTTCCTGCTCCTCCCTCGCGGCGGGCGGGGCGCCTGGGCTTCCTGGGTACCCTGTCCCTCACCTTGCAGGGTGCAGCACGTAAACCCCGCCTTCCTCGTGCTCCCCGGAGGAGCTGGCGCTGCCGTGCTGCCCGACTACCCCCCGGGCCCCGAGGCTGCGGGCGGCAGGGCGTGGCAAGCCGCCCCGGGCCCTCCGGTGGCCGCGGACTCCCGCAGAGGCCCCGCCACGCCACCTGATGTGAGCCTCGCTGGCCCACCGGGCGGCCGCCAGCCACCCACCCCCCACCCCCCGGCCCCCGGGCCTTCAAGGCGGCGCCGCTGCCAAGTGGGGCGGGGCTGCGGGCGCCGGGCCCTGGGAGGAGCGGGCGGCGGGGCAGGGCCGGGGCAGGGCCGGGGCAGGGCCGGGGCAGGGCCGGGGCAGGGCCGGGGCAGGGCCGGGGCGGGCAGAGCGGGCAGAGCGGGCAGAGCGGGCCGCTACCCCCACGGGCCAGGTCAAGATGGCGCTGGCGGCGGGAGCGCGCGTGCAGGCCCGTGCCCTGCTGCGACCCTGTGCGTGCCCGGGGCGGGGGGCGGGGGCGGGGGCGGGGGCCGGGCCCGGGGGCTCACCGGCCTCGCGCTGTGGTTCGCAGGGTCCCGGGTGCCCAGCGCGGCCCCGGGGCGGACGCCGGCGGCGGGAGGCGGCGGGCCCGGCGCGCGCTGCTTCGGGAGCCCGCGGGTGCTGGTGGAGCCGGATCCGGCGGCAGGTAAGCGCTCCCCGCGCCCCCCGCGCCCCCCGCGCCCGCACTCCCGTCCCGGGCTCCGCAGAAACCCAGCCCGAACTACCCCGACCGGACCATCTCTGCCGCGCTCGAAGCTGGGGGTCTCCAGTCTAGGCGGTTCAACGGCGGGTTTTCCCGGGTTATTTTACGTTTTTAAGATTTATCTGCGCCTGTTAGAGAGCGCGCTCGGGGCTGGGGAGCAGAGAGGGGAAGCCCAGACAGGTCCCGCGGAGCACGGAGCTGACCGGGCGCCGCCCAAGCCCCCGATCGCGACGCCGCTGAAACCAGGAGCGAGCCCTGAAGCGGCGGCCCTCCCAGCTTATGACGAAGATTAAAATGTTTCAATTTGTAACGTCTGAGGGGTATTGCTCCTTTATCCAAACGCTTAAATTTGGAAATAGAAAATAATTGCAACTATTTTGGAATAAGATGTTTTACTTTGTTTTAATACTTCAAAGTGACACAGAACCTAGCAGATACCTCACTAATTAAAGCCGGGAATCCGGGTGGAATCACTCCTAACCCACCCCCAACTCCCATCAAACATTCTCTTAAAAGGGGAGACAACCCGGGTGGCTGAGTCAGTTGAGTGTGTCCCTTGGGGCTGGGATGGTGATCCGGGCTGGGATTAGGATCTATGGGCCCTGGGGCTGGAGCTCCCACCCACCTGGCTCCCTGCTCCCTCTGCTTGTCCCTCCCCCTCCCCCTGCTTGTGCACACTCTCCCTCTCTCAAATAAATAAATAAATGATCTTAAAAAAAAATGAAAACTGCAAAGGTGACAGAAAAGGTAGAAAAAGCACTGTTGAAAGAAAAACATGAAGAAAAAAAAAAAGAAAAACCTGTTTCCTCTACTTAAGAGAGCCCCCAAGCTGGGGCGAGAGAAGACTTGCGGTCAGCCCACGACCAGGCCTTAGGGCGGGCTGACCCAGCTGACCCTTGGCCTCCTGGTGAGGGCCTCCTGCAGTGCTTGGCGGAACACAGGCCGCAGCCCCAGCCCTCCTCCCCACCCAGACACCCGAGTCTGCTTGCCCTGTGACATCCAGGCTCACCCAAAGTCCTCTTTATATTTTTAAGATTTTATTTATTTAAGAGAGAGAGATGGAGGGAGCACAAGCAGGGAGGGGGGTGGAGGGGGCAGAGGAGAGGGAGCAGCAGACTCCTGGCTGTGCAGGGAGCCCAACACGGGGCTCCAAGCCAGGACCCCGGGAGCATGACCTGAGCCGGAAGCAGACCTGAGCCAGAAGCAGATGCTTCACCAAGGGAGCCACTCAGGTGCCCCCAAATCCTCTTTCTTAACTTGTTTTCTTTTTTTTTAAAGATTTTATTTATTTATTCATGAGAGAGAGAGAGGCAGAGACACAGGCAGAGGGAGAAGCAGGCTCCACGATGGGAGCCCCATGTGGGACTCGATCCCAAGTCTCCAGGATCACGCCTGGGGCTGAAGGCAGGCGCCAAACCGCAGAGCCGCCCAGGCTGCCCCTTAACTCATTTTCAATTTTGGTCTTTATCTTTCCCCCAGTGCCCTTGATTCCGCTGGATTTCTGTAGCTATCCAGTCAGCTTCAGGGCACCCGTGGCTCAGTGGGTCACCCCCACGGATGAGAAGAAGGTAGGTCAGTTTGGAATCCCATGGGGACCGCTTTAGGCCAGCGTGGATTTGATTCATTTATACAGTGTGAGGGTGATGACTCTGGAACCCTACCTATCCCTGCCCCCCGCATGCTGCACGGAGGGAAAGGGAAGCAGGACACCAGTATTGGCACTCAGGCTCTTCCTCCCAGCTGGGGAACAAGCCGGGTTGCTGCTGGGGGGCAGGGCAAGCAGAAGGTGCGCCCTGCAGGTTGTACCAGTATTCCCTGGAGTGTGGGCCCTGTAAGAGCAAGGGTGCAGTTCCCCTTCTCCTTCTAGCTAAAAAGAACAGATGGGGCGTGTGGCTGGCTCAGTGGGGAGGAACATGGGAAGCTTGATTTCGGGTTTGTGGGTTCAAGCCCCACATTGGGTATGGAGATTACTTAAATAAATAAATATCTTAAACGCTCAAAGGAAGGGTCAGGAGAGGAGGTTGAGTCCGAGTCCCTTGGCAGAGGCCAGAGCCTTGCCTTCCTGTCGAGCTGCCCTTTCCATAGTCCTCAGAAAATGGGGTCCCCACAACAGACGTCTTTTCCTTCCCAAGGGCTCCGTGTGTCGGTGCCATCCTCACAGCATTGAGGGTGAAACTGTCCAGGATTGTTCCCTCAAGAAGCCAGCTTTGCCCCTGCTATCCGGGACGTGGGGCTGTGTCAGGAATGTGGGCCTCCATGTCTGATGTGCTCTTTCCTCTTCCCACAGGTCACGCTCCCCAAGGCGCAGGTCCCCCGTGCGCCGGCGATCTCGCTCCCCTGGCCGCCGCCGCCACAGGAGCCGCTCCAGCTCCAACTCCTCCCGATAAGGAGAGCCCTGGAGCTCTGCGCCCTGTAACTTCCACCCCATTTGCTACAGTTTTGTCACTTCTCTAGCCAGAGGAGGGTTGGTAGGGAAAAAATTCCTCACTCAGGGCAGGCTTCGAAGGCAGCAACTGAGATGTTTGAACTCTGAGGGCAAGGTTCCAGAGGAGTGTTCGTGGTTTGGGGCTGTACTGTAAGAAAGCCCTCCCAATTTCCTGGCTAGAAAGCTCCCACATTTCCAGTTCTTAAGAGAGTACATCCAGCCCATCCATTGGCAAAGCCAGCAGGGACCAAGCAGGGCTCCAGGTGGCAGTGTGGCCCCAGCCCGGGGGTCATTTCCACAGATGACTGGGGCCAGTTAGGCCCTTGCCTGTTGGTCTGCAGGGTCCCTCAGGAAAGGGTGCACGTCTGTGCTGCTGCTGTTCCTGCTCACCTGGCCCAGCTGCCCTGCTCGGGTCCTCTTCCAACACCTCTGCGCAAACAGCCCAAGAATTATCATTAGTTACCAAGAATTACCGAGAATGGTTCTGTTTATGTGTACTCATGCACACACATCCACACCCCACGTCTCCCTCTGAAATTGGTGAGAAAATTGAGAGCCGGCTCTGCAGGGTCATCACAGGCCCCTGCTGCAGTGTCATGGCAGTCTTGCAGGTTACCTTGGCAATGTGTACATTACTTTTTTTTTTGGCATTGTACAGTCAGTACTATAAATTTGTTTTGAGTTTTGTAACTTGTAGCATTTTAGGTGCCCTTGTGTTTGTACTTTGTTGTGTAGAGTGAAGGGACTGTGTTGAATAAACAGGATTAGAATGCAGATTGAGTACTGGCTTCACTGCCCCTTTCCTATTCTTGGCCCCAAAGATACCTTCAGTTACGAGGGAATTAAAAATGCACAATTGCATTTTAGTTCATTCCGAGTCACGTCCAAAATCTCTGAGCCGCGGGAGCAGCAGGCCAGCCCCTGGAGCGCTGGGGCACTGCGGACTTGGGGTGCTCCCAGCAGCTTCGGGTTGGCCTAGCCAGACCGTGGCCGCGGTTTGCCACTGCTGCTGGGGAGCCCTGAAAAGGCTCCTTTGCTGCCTCAGACCTGCTTCCTGCCGCGCACGGGAGCCATGGGAACCCGTAAGGCGCTAAAGTGTCGTGGGCCCTAACCTTTGTCCTTACTGCTTCAGGCGTTGAGGCTCCCAGAGCAAGGACCGGCCCGCCCGGCGGCTCCGAGGCTTCCTGCTCCTCCCTCGCGGCGGGCGGGGCGCCTGGGCTTCCTGGGTACCCTGTCCCTCACCTTGCAGGGTGCAGCACGTAAACCCCGCCTTCCTCGTGCTCCCCGGAGGAGCTGGCGCTGCCGTGCTGCCCGACTACCCCCCGGGCCCCGAGGCTGCGGGCGGCAGGGCGTGGCAAGCCGCCCCGGGCCCTCCGGTGGCCGCGGACTCCCGCAGAGGCCCCGCCACGCCACCTGATGTGAGCCTCGCTGGCCCACCGGGCGGCCGCCAGCCACCCACCCCCCACCCCCCGGCCCCCGGGCCTTCAAGGCGGCGCCGCTGCCAAGTGGGGCGGGGCTGCGGGCGCCGGGCCCTGGGAGGAGCGGGCGGCGGGGCAGGGCCGGGGCAGGGCCGGGGCAGGGCCGGGGCAGGGCCGGGGCAGGGCCGGGGCAGGGCCGGGGCGGGCAGAGCGGGCAGAGCGGGCAGAGCGGGCCGCTACCCCCACGGGCCAGGTCAAGATGGCGCTGGCGGCGGGAGCGCGCGTGCAGGCCCGTGCCCTGCTGCGACCCTGTGCGTGCCCGGGGCGGGGGGCGGGGGCGGGGGCGGGGGCCGGGCCCGGGGGCTCACCGGCCTCGCGCTGTGGTTCGCAGGGTCCCGGGTGCCCAGCGCGGCCCCGGGGCGGACGCCGGCGGCGGGAGGCGGCGGGCCCGGCGCGCGCTGCTTCGGGAGCCCGCGGGTGCTGGTGGAGCCGGATCCGGCGGCAGGTAAGCGCTCCCCGCGCCCCCCGCGCCCCCCGCGCCCGCACTCCCGTCCCGGGCTCCGCAGAAACCCAGCCCGAACTACCCCGACCGGACCATCTCTGCCGCGCTCGAAGCTGGGGGTCTCCAGTCTAGGCGGTTCAACGGCGGGTTTTCCCGGGTTATTTTACGTTTTTAAGATTTATCTGCGCCTGTTAGAGAGCGCGCTCGGGGCTGGGGAGCAGAGAGGGGAAGCCCAGACAGGTCCCGCGGAGCACGGAGCTGACCGGGCGCCGCCCAAGCCCCCGATCGCGACGCCGCTGAAACCAGGAGCGAGCCCTGAAGCGGCGGCCCTCCCAGCTTATGACGAAGATTAAAATGTTTCAATTTGTAACGTCTGAGGGGTATTGCTCCTTTATCCAAACGCTTAAATTTGGAAATAGAAAATAATTGCAACTATTTTGGAATAAGATGTTTTACTTTGTTTTAATACTTCAAAGTGACACAGAACCTAGCAGATACCTCACTAATTAAAGCCGGGAATCCGGGTGGAATCACTCCTAACCCACCCCCAACTCCCATCAAACATTCTCTTAAAAGGGGAGACAACCCGGGTGGCTGAGTCAGTTGAGTGTGTCCCTTGGGGCTGGGATGGTGATCCGGGCTGGGATTAGGATCTATGGGCCCTGGGGCTGGAGCTCCCACCCACCTGGCTCCCTGCTCCCTCTGCTTGTCCCTCCCCCTCCCCCTGCTTGTGCACACTCTCCCTCTCTCAAATAAATAAATAAATGATCTTAAAAAAAAATGAAAACTGCAAAGGTGACAGAAAAGGTAGAAAAAGCACTGTTGAAAGAAAAACATGAAGAAAAAAAAAAAGAAAAACCTGTTTCCTCTACTTAAGAGAGCCCCCAAGCTGGGGCGAGAGAAGACTTGCGGTCAGCCCACGACCAGGCCTTAGGGCGGGCTGACCCAGCTGACCCTTGGCCTCCTGGTGAGGGCCTCCTGCAGTGCTTGGCGGAACACAGGCCGCAGCCCCAGCCCTCCTCCCCACCCAGACACCCGAGTCTGCTTGCCCTGTGACATCCAGGCTCACCCAAAGTCCTCTTTATATTTTTAAGATTTTATTTATTTAAGAGAGAGAGATGGAGGGAGCACAAGCAGGGAGGGGGGTGGAGGGGGCAGAGGAGAGGGAGCAGCAGACTCCTGGCTGTGCAGGGAGCCCAACACGGGGCTCCAAGCCAGGACCCCGGGAGCATGACCTGAGCCGGAAGCAGACCTGAGCCAGAAGCAGATGCTTCACCAAGGGAGCCACTCAGGTGCCCCCAAATCCTCTTTCTTAACTTGTTTTCTTTTTTTTTAAAGATTTTATTTATTTATTCATGAGAGAGAGAGAGGCAGAGACACAGGCAGAGGGAGAAGCAGGCTCCACGATGGGAGCCCCATGTGGGACTCGATCCCAAGTCTCCAGGATCACGCCTGGGGCTGAAGGCAGGCGCCAAACCGCAGAGCCGCCCAGGCTGCCCCTTAACTCATTTTCAATTTTGGTCTTTATCTTTCCCCCAGTGCCCTTGATTCCGCTGGATTTCTGTAGCTATCCAGTCAGCTTCAGGGCACCCGTGGCTCAGTGGGTAAGCGCCCAAGTCTCAATTTCAGCTCAGGTGGTGATGTCAGGGTCCTGTGATCCAGCCCTGAGTCAGGCCCTGCACTAGGCTCCGCTGGGCTGGACTGTCTCCCTCTGCCCCTCCCCGGCCCTCCTCATCTCCCCATACCCCCGCCGGCACTCATGGACACTCTCAAAAATCCAGTTGGCCTCAGAAACTTCACTCTGAACCAAGTTCAGAAGCTTACTCCTGGAAATGCTGATTGCTTCTTACACGGACGGAAATGTCCCTGGAGCCGGTGAAGAAGTACTTTCTCAAAAATCAGAATTCTCAAGAGCCTTCAGGACTGTTGTCACTCCTAGAGAATTGTGTTCACCATCGGAGATTTCTAAGGTCCTGACCAGAGAACTGTAACCTCCGTGAGCGGTGGCATTTCTGAAGCGCTCAGGGTCTGTCCTTGGGCAATGAGACCAAGCGGCTCCTGCCACCTGCCAGCGCTGCACCACCCACCGGCTGGCCTGCCCCGCTGCTTCCCCGCCGCTGGCAGGATGAACAAGTAGATGGTGGAGTTTCTGGACATCAGAGCGCCGAGGTTTGGAGCCTCTGTCCTCACCCAGGTGTGAGCCAGAGCGCACCTGTGGAGGTCCTTGCACATTGCTCACTCGCTCCTCGAGAAACTGGGGACATTTCCTGCTCCCCTGGGGACAGAGGACTTGCATTTGGGAGAAAGGATCGACAAAAATGTAGGCACAACTGTAATTCACAAGAGCCAAGAGGTGGAACCGAGGCAGGTGTCCATCAGCAAGTGAACAGACACACAGGACGTGGTCCGCACACATGCACACATCCTTTGACCCTAAGAGGGACAGAACGATGTCCCAGCCTGCAGCGCGGGGCAGCCCTAAGAACATGACGCTCTGTGAAAGAAGCCAGACTCGAAAGGTCGTAGGTGGGATGCTTGATTCCTGTGAAGTGTCCACAATAGACACAGAAAGGAGACCCCTGGTTGCCAGAGGCCGGGGACGGGTGGTAACTGCTGGTGGGCACAGGCTCCTCTAGAACAGACCTGCTCTGCAACTAGACCATGGTGCAGGGAGAAGCAGCCCCCCCCCACCCAGGGTCACGACCTGAGCCGAAGGCAGGGTGTCCCTGGTTCTTATTCTCAATGCAAGTGAGATTCACCTAATGTCAATTAGCTATTTAAAAGTTCAGGGACGCCTGGGGGCGTCGGGCCTCCGTGCCTGAAGCCTGCTTCTCCCCCTGCCTGTGTCTCTGCCTCTCTCTGTGTGTCTCTCATGAATAAATAAATAAAATCTTTAAAGAAAAGAATAGAAAACAAGAGCCATGTGTCCGGCGGTGGCGAAGCTGACTGGGGACACTCTCCCGGCACCCCACGGGGTGCGAGCGCTCACCTCTTCATTTTCACACTAGGAGTGGCTGTGATGAAGCTCAGGAAACCCCCGGTGAACAGCCTCAGCCTAGAGTTTCTGACCGAACTGGTCATCAGCCTGGAGAAGCTGGAGAATGATAAGAGCTTCCAGGGCGTCATCATCACGTCGGTGGGTACTCTTAGCTCCCCGGGTCAGGGTCACAGGAAAGCCGCTGTGATGTCCAAGTCCACCCCAGGCACGGTCGGCACTTCCGTGGTGGAGAAGAACCAGACAGGCCCAGATGTAGGTGCCACCACAAGAGGCTCCTGGGGGACCTGGTCCTGGGCATGGTCCAAGGGGGACCCCTATGGTGCCAGCGTGCTCTGTCCCCGGCTGCTTCCCAGGCCTGATTCCAGGGAGCCTCCGCGTTCCGCAGTCCAGGCCAGGACGCAGGTGAGGGCAGCTGGCGCTTGCGGGGGTACCCTCGAGCCGCCCTGATGGGTGGAGGGAAGTCCACAGGATATCCGACTGGCACTGGATTCCGGGGGTACCCTCCCCACAGAGGGCTACTGGGTGCCTTCCCTGGGGGCCGGTGACGGTGCTCCTGCTGAGGCCCCGCTCTCGTTCCGCCTCCGGGAGTACTGCCTTGGGGAGCCGGCAAATGCTGGTTAATGGCTTCTGTATTGTCGTTGCGGCCCTGGAGGGTGGGACTGGGTATGAGCCTGGGGGGCTGGTCCTCGGAGCCTGGGCTGGTTTCAACACCCAGACCCACGGGACGGGGTCTCCCGTGCTCCTGCCTGCCTCCAGCAGACTTTGCCAGGCACTGGGGTTGCCAAGAGAGGAAATAGCTAAGACCGGGCCAGGGAGATGCTGTGTGGACATGACATAACGGGCCTTCTGTTGGGCCAGGAAGAGCACTGGGGTCACCTTTCAGGCTAGAAGGAGCCTCAGCAGGAATGTCCCCCGTCTAAGTGCCTCCGCATCACAGGCCAGCGGGAACGGCTTGGTTCTGCCATTATTAAAGGGGGGTGGTCTTAGCTCCCCCCCGCCCAGGCTGCGAGTGTCCGCTGGGCGAGCTCCCGCCTTTCCTGAAGCCTTGCTTGCCCCAGGTGTGGCGTGGTGTCATCCCAGCTCTGAACTCTCCTGGGCTCTTGGGCGGGTCCCGTGCTCGCACCCAGTGAGTCCTGGGAAGCTGGGGACTGCGGGGCGGAGCGAGCCCTGTGCGGGAGCGGGTTTTCACGCTGCTCGCGGTGTGGGCCAGGGTGGCAGTCGTGGCTGACCTGCCGGGTCGCCACTGCCTGGGAACTTTCTGCTCCAGATAGTTTCTGAAAACACCCGGTTGAGGATGTTGCTTGGTAGCGTGACGCTTTCTTTGTTGTGCTCTGAAAACGAGTGAGCGGTGACGACAGGAGCCTCTGTCCCTCCACCACGCAGTGAGGGTAGCCCGCCGCCTCCCCAGCTTCGGAGCTGCGCGGCCCCCGGGGCGGGGGGTGGCGGCCTCTGTCCCTGGGCGGCCCACATCCTCCGCAGGACTGTCCCCCCCCCCATACGCGTGTCACCCTGTGTTCCTGGCTGTGAGCCTACTGTGTACGGGCACAAGGCCCGCCCGCTGGGTCAGCCAATGATGCCGGTGTCACAGAGACACGTGGCAGAGGGCCACGAAGCAGGGCTCCCGGCAGCAGCGGTGCGTTCTCTCCTGGGGCCCCCTTGCTCTTCCAGCCGCTGGGGGTCCCGGCGCCCCTGCTGCCTCCTTCCAGGACCCCTGCTCTCCTGCACACGGGCCACCACACCTGCGTGGACCGAGTCCTGCACGGCAGGAGGGGCGGGGCGGCGTCTTCTTCCCAGACACGGTCTGGCCCACCGCGGACGTGTTGCTGAGGGTCACAAGCTGCACCCCTGCCACTCCGTGTGTCAGCCTGTCCCCCGCCAGGCCTCCAAGCCCCTCTGCCAGGACAGCGCCCAGAGGCCCGCACAGAGCCCGGTGTCTACGGGGGGGACCCCTGACCCCGCCTTTCCCTTTTTGCCGCTGCAGAGAAGGAACGGAGGCCGGGGGTGTCCCTGCTCCGATGCCACTGCCTCTGCAGCGCCCATGGGCTCCCTGGGCCCTGGGGATGCACTGTGATTGGGCCCCTGGCTCCTTGGCTCCCCCAGGACTCCCCCGGGATCTTCTCAGCCGGCCTGGACCTGATGGAGATGTGCGGGAGGGACCCCGCGCACTATGCCGAGTACTGGAAGGCCGTGCAGGAGCTGTGGCTCCGCTTGTACCTGTCCCACCTGGTGCTCATATGCGCTGTCAACGTGAGTGTCCCGTCCCCGATCCTGAGCCGCCCCACTGACTCGCCAGGGCCGGCACTGGGGGTTCAGGTGTGCAGCAGGGAGCTCGCCACGACTGACCAGTGTAACCTGGTGACGCGGGGAGGGACCGGCCCAGCAGGGGGCCCGTGGGGGGCTCGGGAGGGGCTGAGGACGGAGATGGGTCCCGTCACGCGTGACGCATCACAGTGTTTCAGCTAAATACTTGTTTGGCTTTTAGCATCCAGGCAAAAGCCATGGAAAGATGGCTTGCTGCGACAGGCCGGTTCTGGGCAGAGAGGCCAGGCCTGCGAGGGCCATGCCCATGGGCACCCCCGTGCCAGCAGACAGGGTGGGCAGGGCACCCCGGAGGAGGGCCGCGGGCGCACCTGGGAGCTCACCCCTCCCGCGGGCCCTTCCCGGGGACCTGGCTCTGGAAGACCCTTAGGGGCCCCCAGGCAGCCCTCTCCCCTGCAGGGAGTCAGCCCCGCGGGGGGCTGCCTGTTGGCCCTCAGTTGTGACTACCGGATCCTGGCGGACAACCCCAAGTACACCATCGGGCTGAATGAGACTCAGCTGGGCATCGTCGCCCCCTTCTGGTAAGGCCGGGGGCTGCACCCGCACCTGCTGCGCCCTGGGCCTGCCTGGCCCCTGGGAGCCCAGCCCCTGCATGTGTTCCAGGTTCGCAGACACCCTGGTGAACACCATCGGGCACCGCGCCGCGGAGCGCGCCCTGCAGCTGGGGCTGCTCTTCCCGCCCGCCGAGGCCCTCCAGGTGGGCATTGTGGACCAGGTGGTGCCTGAAGACCAAGTGCAGAGCACAGCCCGGTCGGTGATGGCCCAGTGGCTGGCCGTTCCAGGTGAGGAGCCCAGGGCTGGGGGCCCACGGCAGCTGTGGGTACTGCAGGGCCAGCAGAGCCACCGCCCACCACAGCCTGACGCTCCCCGTGAGACCAGAGGGTGTTCACGCCAGCATGCCATGTGCAAGTCATGACCGTGCCATTTCCAACAGCAGGCTGCCTTAGTGCTGGGGCCGCCGTAGCGGAGTACCACAGGGTCAGGGGTGCTGGTATGGCAGGGCCGTGCTCTCCCCAGAGGCTCTAGGAGAGGCTTCTCCCCGCCTCCCCTCTTCCTCTTGTTAGGACACTCCTTGTGGGTTTAGGGCCCACCCTAAATCTAACATGACCCCCTCCTAACTTCATCCACAGACACCCTAGGTTAGGACTTGCGTGTATCTCTGGGTCTGGGAGGCTCCATTCTTCAAGCCACTGATGATTAGAAACAAGCCGCGTGCCTGTTTACAGACCTGGGGCTGGTTCTATCAACCGTATTAGAGACCAGGGACCAGCCGACCATCACTAAGGGCAGGTAGATTTTCGGCTTTGTGGGTCACTTCAGCCTCAGCCACACTGTGGTGCTAGAGCACCAAGGCAGCCAGCGGCAATGGGAACCAGCGAGTGTGTTCAATAAAACAGGGCCACTGAAACTTAAATTTCATATAATTGTCACGTGTCACACAATGTCCTTTTTTTCAATTATATAACAATGTGAAACCCATTCTTAGTTCACAGGCCGTGGGGGGCCGGGCTTGCAGACCTGAGTGTGCTGTGAAGGAGCACATAGTGACCTAGAAAATATCCTCTGTGATAAAGTTCAATGAAAATAACAGGGGGGTAAAAGGCAATTTTCAGTATCATTGTGTTTCTAAAAGAAATTGGTAGACAGTGGGGAACGGGTGATTTTCAGTTTGTTTACTTGTAGAGTCTAAGTTTCCTATCACATTCCTGCTGGAACTCCCTCGGGAAGGTGGGGAGTGATGCCACCGTCTCGGTGGGCTTTCACTCACGGGCACTTTTCTGTAGGCCACGCCCGGCAGCTGACCAAGAACCTGATGCGCAAGGCCACAGCCGACCGTCTGCTCAAGCAGCGCGACGCGGACATCCAGAACTTTGTCAGCTTCATCTCCAGGGACTCCATCCAGAAGTCCCTGCATGTGTACATAGAAAAGCTCCAAAAGAAAAAAGGCTAAGGGCTGGGCTGTGCACATGGCCTTGTGGCCGTACATGCCTGTCTGTGGCCCTGATTCTGAGATTTTAAACAAGGTATTTTCCAATTTAAAAAGACTTTCAGGGATCCCTGGGTGGCGCAGCGGTTTGGCGCCTGCCTTTGGCGCCTGCCTTTGGCCCAGGGCGCGATCCTGGAGACCCGGGATCGAATCCCATGTCGGGCTCCCAGTGCATGGAGCCTGCTTCTCCCTCTGCCTATGTCTCTGCCTCTCTGTGTGTGTGTGTGTGACTATCATAAATAAATAAAAATTAAAAAAAAAAAAAAAAAGACTTTCAGCGACGCCTGGGTGGCTCAGGGGTTGAGTGTCTGCCTCTGGCTCAGGGCGTGACCTTGGGGTCCTGGGATTGAGTCCCACTCCCCCTTGAGGAGCCTGCTTCTCCCTCTGCCTGTGTCTCTGCTTCTCCGTATCTCTCATGAATAAATAGAATCTTTAAAATTAATAAATAAATACATGCATACATAAAAGTACTTTCAGCTCTTCATTCCACTGATCTCCTTAGAAGGCCCTGTTCCCTGGAGCCAGTGTCCCTGGGCCCCCTGCCCCCCACCCCCAGCACCTGTTCTGCCTAGCAAGTGGGCAGGGCCTCAATTTGGGAATCCTGAACCAGCAGGCCAGGCCGTTCTGGAGCTTGGTGACAGTCACCACTGAGCGCCCCCTTTGCCAAAGCAGAAGTGGGAATAAAGCCGTTGCATTGTCACATCCCTAGCTACCCAGCTCCTGACTACTGGGGGCACACCCCCAGGTCGTGGGCCTGTGGCCCACACAGGACCCCCCCCCCCGCCCGCCGCCGCCGCCATGGCCAGAGCAAAGCCCTTTGGCTGCTACATCTGCCCCCTGAGGCACTTCAGAGACAGGGGGGCGGGGGGGGGGCTCGAGGAGGGGTGGGAGGAAGTACTGGAGAGGCCGTCTTCACTGCACAAGCCACAGACTTACTTACTGAAAGTCATACCAGAAAAACTGGTCCAGGTGCTTGAAACAAAGGTTTTTCCTCCATTCGGTCCAGGCCAATTCCCAGACCCACCAAATGGAGATGGTTCCGAAACCAGAAACCCCCCTGGGCCCCCATCAGCTACACCCTGAACCCCATGCTGTCTCTGAGCAGCCCTTGCCCAGCCCTCCTGAGAAGGGACCTACTGAGGGTGGCACCATAGAAGGGGCCTGCCCCCTGCACTGCTCGGCAGGAAGGACACTTGATACACACAAGTGCCTGCCTGCAGGACGCAGGAATCGGGGTGCAAGAGGGACCTAAGGGACTTGGGGCTGGCCTTATGCGTCACCACTACCTGCATATTTATCCCCCGCTGCACTCAGCACAAGTTGTTGGAAGCATTCAGTTTGCACAAAGAACGCAACAAACTTCCACTAGCAAGCGTGGGAGCAGCGTTCCAGAGCCAGACTGGTTTGGAGGTCGGCAGTTCCCAGCAGGCTGTGAAATGGGCAGGCAGGCCAGCCCTGTGGCCTCCCCGACTGCGCTGCAGGACCAAAGTTCGCGCCTCAGAGGAACTGAGTCTTAAGAGAGGGCATGGACGCCTTAAAGCCAACCAGGGTGTGGTCCCGCGGCTCGTGTTTATTGAGCACTGCCGTGTTCCCGGCGCTCCGCAGGGTGCTCCTCACCACCTTGTGAGGTAGATACAGTAGCCCATTTCGCAGATGGGCAAACCGAGTGGTCCCTGTGATGTTTCCGTGGCCACTTGTCCTGCCAGCCCTGCCCTGCAGCCTTGCCGGGGGCGGCCACCCAGAAGGAGCCCTGTGGGGCTGTTCCTCCTGGCTGGAATACCCAGGCAGGGGCCCTGACCAGGCCTCGGAGGTTCTCAGCGGGACTTCAGGGTCACCTCCACGGGAAAGTGGTCACTGATGGCGAGGGCCTGCAGGGACAGATGGTGGCACCTGAGTGGCCCAGCTGGGCAGCCTGTCCCCCCTCAGCTACACCCCCAGGCCTCCCGGGGATGGAGCCCACAGGGCCTCTCCAAACTGCTGTGCAGCCTGCAGGTGGACTGGGAACCCCACCGGGGAAGAGGTAAAGGGCATCTCCTGTCATCCCAGAAGATCCTTTCAGCCAGAACCAAGCCTCAAAGAACCCCTCTCCACAAGCGCTGGCGGGGGGGGGGGGGGGGCGAGCCCCTACTCACCCCCTCAACGTGCCTCAGCCACCCCCACCCCCCAGCCGCCTCGCCTGAGCCTGGTCCAGGCCGAACTCCTCCTGGAAGTCGTGCACAGCGGCCGACTGCGGCTTGAGACTCCTGCGCAGGCGGGCCCCGCACACCACGATGCGGTCATAGGCGCAGTCCGAGTTGCCCACGGTGGTGTCGGCGCTATCGGGGATGAGCCACTTGAACACCTCGCTGCTGCGGAGGCGGACAGATGGCCAGTCGCGCGCCCGCACATAGTTACAGTCTGCATTGAAGTCGCCCAGGAACAGCAAGTCCTGCAGAGGGGGCCACAGAGCCGGGGCTCAGCCGCTTGACGGCTGCACAAGCACCCTGCACGCAGGCACCCTCCCCCACCCCAGCACAAGCGCACCAACACCCCCGCAAAGGCGCACCCTCCCCAACACGAGTGCACAATCCCCCAGCAAGACCACACCCTCCCCAGCATGAGCGCATCCTCCCCAACACTAGCACACACCCGCAGATGAGCACACCCCCCAGCACCACCGCACCCAAGAACGACTGCACACCCCCACAGGAGCGCAGCCCCCCAGCAGGAGCACACCGTCCCCAGCACGCGCGCACCCCCGCAAGCATGACCACACCCCCCAGCACGAGTGCACCCTCTCCACGAGTGCACCCTCTCCAGCAAGTACACACATCCCCAGCACAAGCACACCCTCCCCAGCAGCACCCCCCCAGCACCCCCCCAGCGGAGCCACAGGGGTGGGGGGGCCGGCCCAGCCCATTTACACCCTGCAAGCGCGCCCCTCCCCACCCCCCAGCACGGGCCCAGGGGACGGGGCGGGGCGTGGCTTACGTCCATGCCCCACTTGTCGATCACGTCCAGGTACACATCATAGAGAGCATCGATCTCCGCCACGGCCTGGTGCGGCGCCGCGTGCAGCGGGATGAGCACCAACTCCCTGGCGGCTGCGGGAGGCACGGATCAGAGGCGGGGCGGGGGGCGGGGGTGGGGGCGGGGGCAGGGGGCTCACCGGAGCCTGGCACGGAGAACTTGACCACGAAAGGTTCCCGGCTGAAGACGTCCCCGGGGTCCGGGTACTGGTACGTGTCCAGGACAGATACAGCGTCCTTCCTGGGGAATGGAGTCGGTGGGCGCGCTGGGCCGGCCCCCCCACCCCCGTGGCCCCGGCCCCGCCCTCACCTGTAGACGAACAGATACATTTCCTTGTACTGGTCCCGACCCAGGGGCTCGCTGCTCACGAAGCTGTACTCGTGTCTGGACACACTGCGGGCACACCGGCCAGGCCTGGGTCAAGGCGACAGGCGGCCCGCATCCCCGCCAGCGCCCCAATGCTGGGCCCTGCCCCTCCCCCCCGCCGCCCCCGCACCTGTTGATCTGCTCCATGAGCGCAGACACGGCGCTCAGGTCCGGGTCTCGCACCTCCTGCACCAGCGTGATGTCATAGCCAGCCAGGATCTGGGGGCGAAGCCGGCAGGGTCAGCCGGGGTGGATCCGCCGCAAAGCCCAGCTGCGGCCCCGCCCCCAGCCCAGGCCTACTTGTGCAATGATGCCGCCGCAGGCCGGGTCCAGCACCTTGCTGTCGCCAAAGCTCTGGATGTTGAAGGCTCCGATGCGCAGCGCCGCGGCCCCGGTAGCCCCCAGGGCCCAGAGCGCGGCCAGGAGGACCAGGGGCTCACCCATGGCGCAGAGCCGGTGGCTAGGAGGGCCGGACACGCTCCTGATTGCGGACCTGGAGCCAGACACACCGTGCCATCCCTCTGTGCCCCACCCCTCTGCGCAAGACCTCGGTTTGGAGATCCAAGGCGCATCCTTCCCCGTGTCTCCATCTCCCTGGTAGTGCACTAGGCTTACCATGGCCCTTGTGCTCCGTGGGAAAACTGAGGCCCAAATACAGGGACCCCATCCCTTCCAGGCCCCAGACTCACCTGGGATGTGGATGTCGCGGTATCTGAGGCCCAGGATCAGGTCGGAGATCCAGGCTGGGGGTGTGTCTGTGGCACGAGACAGACTCCTCGGGCTTGGTCTGGCAGCAGCCCGGGCGCCAGGGCATGGGCAGTATTTGAGGCCCTTGTCCGGGGAGGGGCTGGACTGCTCTGGCCCCACCCCCTGGCAAAGGTGGATGCTGGGACTCCGGGTTCCAGGTCCCAGGGAGAGCCCGGGGCCACGGAGGCAGGGGATCCACCCTGAGCCTGAGCTGGCGCCCTCAAGCCCGGCAGAACCACGACTCCAATGACCCTGTTAGGCCCCCCAAACTGCGTCAGGACTGGGTAAAAGGGCCAGCCATCTGAGGTCCGGGCCTTATCTTTGTCCCTACCCCTATCCCCCCCTCCCCAAACTAGGTCATCCAGAATTGCCCTTCCCCAGGGGCACCCCATGTTCCATAAAGACCAGCCCCCTTCCGGTGGCTCTGCTGCTGCTTCTCCCTCACGGTGTCACCGCAGAGTAAAAGGCTGAGGGTCCCGGGCCAAGTGGAGGCTGTGAGGCAGCGCCCCCTTCCCCCACCTCCGTGGGCCTGGGGAAGCTGGGGTCACAGCTCCAGCTGGGCAGGGCAGCGGCGGCAAGCTGCCTGTCCACATGCCAGAGACGCCCACACAGCGCAGCGGCGCCAGCCCCAGCAGGAGCCCTGGGCGGGGTAGCCAGACACGCGAATCTGGGGGGGCCGCCACAGGGGAACCTGCCAGGGCAGTGGCATCACAAGTGGTGGCTTTTTCATGTTTTATTGTAAAGCAACAAAAAACTATTTACACGCCCACATCCCCTCTGAACACCTGAACTCGTGTCCCCTCTTCTCTGGGTCCTGGGCAGCCCTGCCCAAGAGCCTATAGGCGGCCACGCTAGACGATGACCGTCTGCACCTCGAGCTGGCCCTCTGGTGAGGCAATGACCAGCTCGCCAGCATGCTCCAGGATTTCAATGTCCTCCGAGGAAACCATGGTCACAGTGGCCTGCTCGCCGCCATTAGTGCCCGTGCGGGCCGTGAGCACGGTGCCCTCGCTGATGGCCGAGGCCAGCGTCATGGCCACCTGCTCCGTCAGGCTCTCAGGTGTCGCGATGGTGATGGTGTCCGCCGCTGCGGCCTCAGGGCCCAGCCCTGCCTCCTGGTCCATAGTCACGTTCTGCACGATGATCTGGTGGCCCGCGCTGGCCTGGTGCACAATCTGCTGCACCACCTTCATGATGTGGCTGTCCACCTGTGGGTGGCTCGCGGCTCAGCGGGCAGCTGTGGGGGAGGCCCGCCCCTCCCCCCACCTCCTCCGGTGCTCCACCCGCCCTTCACCTCCGTCTGGGTCCCCTCAATGATCTCTGCAGCTTCATTGGTCTCCGCGTCGTCTGCGGTGGCCTGGATGGAGGTCAGAGATCAGCCCTGCCGCTCTGAGGTCAGAGGTCAGCCTCGCCGCCCCAAGGGCCCCGTACCCACCTCGATGATGTACTCCTGGGTGTCGGCCACGACGGACGAGAACTCAACCAGCACAGTGTGAGGGTCCTCGGCCAGCACGGTGGCAGCTGCTGTGGAACTCTCCTCAGACACCAGCAACTCCTCCACCTCCAGCAGGCAGCCCCCTGGGGGTGGGGGTGGCGGTGGGGGCTCGGTCAACGCCGCCGCCTTCAGGTCCCTCCACCCCCCGGCTCCCACAAGCCCTGACCTTTGGTGCGCAGGTGCCGGTTGAGCGTGCCGTGCTCAGCAAAGCCACGGCCGCACCTGTAACACTTGAAGGGCTTCTCGCCCGTGTGGTGCCTCACGTGCCGCACCAGGGAGCCCTTCTCCCGGAAGCCCCGGCTGCAGAACGGGCACACATGCGGCTTCTCCTCCAGGTGAGTCCGGAAGTGCACCTGCTGGGCATTCTGTAGAGCCGCACCGTCAGCGCCAACCTGGTCATACCTCAGGCCGAGGGCGAGGGGGCCAGGCAGGAGGGGAGGGGAGGGGCGGGGCGGGAGGGAGGGAGGCCTGCAAGGCAGGGAGCATGGGGTGGATCTGACCCAGGGAAGGGCCTCCCGCCCCGGTGGATCGGGGGTGCGATCAGAGGCCAGGGCCTGAGGGCCCACCTTGGTCTTGTAGCACTTGCCACACTCGGGACACGGATAGGGCCGCTCGTCAGAGTGGACGCGCCGGTGGCCACGGACGTGGGCGATGGTCTTATAGAGCTTCCCGCAGTCCCCACAGCGAAAGCGGCGCTCGTGCACGTGCACCTCCTGGTGCTTCTTGAGCAGGTAGGCTTTCGGGAAGGCCTTGCCACACTGCGCGCATGTGAATGGCCTTGGCCCTGGGGCCGCACACCATGTCAGGCTGCGTCCAGCACCCAAGGGCCCCTTGCCTGCTGCCCACCCACCTGCCCCACCCTCCCACCACCCACCTGTGTGGCCCCTTTTGTGGGCCTCCAGGGTGGCCGCCGTCGGGAAGGTCTCACTGCACTGAGGGCACGAGTGGGTCCTGGGCACAGCTGAGGCCCCGCTGGCCACCTGCTGGGGGGCCACAGCATGCCTCCAGCACCCAGTACAGGCTGGACCCTGGGAGAACCAAGCCACGGCACCCCCACCCCACCCCCTAAAGGAGCACGCTGGCAGCGCAGGCACCTACTGTCTCCACCGGCTCCACCTCCAGCAGTGGCAGCTCTGGAGGACCATCTCCCAGGGGCTGCGGACTGGGTGCAGCAGGAGGGGCCGGCTCCAGGGCCCTCTCCTCTCCACTGACACGCTCAAGGACAATGCCGGAGTTCTGCATGGCCTGGTGCAGCAGGTTCTCACGGCCACCCTCGCTGGAACAGGGCAGCTCCTCGGGGCCCGGGGGCTGTGGGCGGGCAGAGGGAGGGAGCTGGCCAGGCAGCCTGGCACACCGTACTCACCCGTACCCACTACACAGGGAAGACCCAAGGGGCCCAGGGGCACTGTGCCTACCAGAGGGATGCTTCTTCGGGGAGCCCCACAGCCCACTCTACCTGCCCTCACCTGGCTGCACCTCACCCTCAACTCCCTGTCCCTCACCCCTCGCCACCCTCTGGCATGCCACTGGTGTCCAGTCCCCCCTGCAACCAGGCTGAGCACCAGGAAGGTGGGCCAGGTCGGTCCTGTTCCCACTGGAGCCAGAGACCAGGGCAGAGACTGGCACAGAGGCCACTCCCCTGGCCTGCCCGCACCTCTGGGGCCAGGGCTTTCATGCCCAAAGGAAGCTCCTGCATCTGCACGTGGACCTCGTGGATGACAGTGCCCTTGGCGTCTGTCACCAGGTGAATCACCGGCGAGGTCTCCATAGGTTCGCTGGTCACCGATGAAGATGTAACAGTCCCCACGGTGGAGGTGCCAGACCCTTTAAGGCAGAACCAAGAGAATCCTTGAAGAAACCCTCCCAAACAAGGTGGCACCCAGGCCAGCAGCCAGGGCCAGGCAGGGGGCCCCTACCTGCAGGCACATCCTCTTTGCCAACAACCACATCCTTGCTCATGCTGAAACGGATTTTTTCTGTGCATGGGGTGAGAGACTTGAGATGCCGGGTCAGCGCCCCTGACTCCCGGAAGCTCTTCCCACACTTGACACACTTATAGGGGCGCTCATCTGCAGAAAGAACGTAGTCGGCCCCGGGCAGGGCCAGCGGCCCGGGCCCACGGCCTCACGGCCTAGCGGAGGCCTCAGCACCGCACTGAGGTCCCCAGCCCCGCCGGGCTCACCTGTGTGCCGCCGGTGGTGCCGGATGAGCGAACCCTTGGTCCGGAAGGAGGCCCCACACAGCTTACACTCGTGGTCCTTGCGGCTGCTGTGGGTGACCATGTGGGCCTTGAGGATGCTGCCCTGGGGGTGGGGGGAGAAGTGGGGCTCAGCACTGTCCTGGGCAGGAGCAGGAAGCAGACCGGGCCCCACCATCCAGTGCGGCCCCAAGTACATGGGCTGCACGGCCTGGCCGGCAGGCCGCCCCCAGGCTCACCGTCTTGAAGGTCTTATGGCACAGCATGCACACGTAGCGACCATCCTCGTTCACCAGCAGCTTGACCTGAGCCTGCTCGCCCTCCCCGGTGAGCCCGGGCCCCTGACGGCTGGGGCTGTCTGGGGCTTCGGCCATGTCGCCGTCCCCTGGCTCTGCCTCAGCAGCCACGATGACCTCCTTAATGTGTCCGGCGCCTGAGGAGAGGCAGGTCAGCCTGAGCCTCGGGACGCTGCGGGCCCGGCGACCGCCTCGGATGCCTAACTGAGAAGGTTGCTAGGGGGCCATGGAGCTATCCTGACCTCCCTCTGGCCCCAGTGCCTCGCACCAGCTCCCTGAGTGCAATAAGCAGGGCACACCGCCGACTCCGCAGGGCTCCCTGGAGGAGCTCCAAGACCCCAGAATGTATGCAGTGGGGAGACCCACCACGAACACCGGCGCCCCCTCCCAAGCCGAGGAGCACTGGGCTAGTTGTGTGCAGGGGCCTGCCGCCTCACACAGCTGGGGACAGCTGGGTGCCAGCACAGAGACGGGGGCCGGGCCAGCGCAGCCCACTGCCGTCCACCCCACTCACTGCCGTGGCTCCCACAGGCAGGTAAGCAGATAGAACAGCGGTCTCTGGGGGCCACCCACTGTGGCTCCAGGCAGGTGGTGGTGGGAGGGCTCCGAGACACATGGGGCTGCCGGGGAAGGAGGCTCTCGTGGGTGAGGAAGAGATCTGACAACGTGCAAAGCTAAGCTGTAAACACACTTCACAATTTCTGCTCCTAAAAATGACGTGTGGGGAACGGTTGTAAAGCTACTTCTTAAGCAGCATCTCAATCGGATGGGCAGTGTTTTGACAAGCCCTGCTCCCAAACAGAAGAGAAGTACCGTGACTCAGAAATAATTAAGGGCGTTGCTCGCCCATGCCCTGGCTGACGTGCTTGATGCTCTATCTTTCCTCCACCCCAGAAGCCAACTCCCAAAAGGACGGCACATCTGGCAAGGGAGAGCTTGGGCTAGAACGTGGCACAACAGACAGCTGATGGAGGAGTCAAGGAAAAAGGAACGTGGCTGCCCTGAGTCCAGAGATGAAACCAAGTCTGTTTCCAGGGAAGAGGCAGGAGGGCCTGGCACGGGTATCTAGCCCCAAGGTGGCCCCCGGCCCAGCAAGGACTGAGATGCCCCTAGTCCTGGGATGACAGCCAGCGGCAGTTTAGGACTCTAGCCTACCCTGACCAATGAGTAGCTGACACCAAGGGGACATGTGGGGCACCCAGGATACCTGCCAAGGGGCAAGAGAGGCAGGAGCCCAGAGCACAGGGAGGGGGTGCCCCAGCAGCAGGTGTGGGCCAGTTGGAAGCTGCGGTGGTGGGAAGGGGCCTGGCTCTCTAGGGGTCCGGAACCCGGGGGTGCTGCCCAAACCCAAGGAACCTGTTTCCATCTGACACTACTCGCCATGCCAAGGCCAAGGCACGGCCCCACCTGCCACATGACAACATTCCTATCCCTGAGTGGCAACAGGTGAACATCCCTGCTCACAGGAATGTCAGGCAAGGGGAAGGGCAGCCGGGAGACAAGACAGGTGTCCTGCCGCCTCCCTGAGCTCTCCTCCACCTCTCCTCCTGCCCCAGCTGGTCCCAAGGCCCTCCTAAGGCCAAGCTCTACCTGTTGCCCAAACCCACATCCTGTCACGCCACCCACTCACACACCTGCCAAGACTCCTGCCCAACAGACCCTCGGGTTACAACCATTCCCTTCACAACTTGGCAGCAGGCCCGACCCAGCCTCCCTCCTGCGGCGTACACACCCCGCCCCCGGCTCCTTCCACCTGCCCCAGCCCATGGCTGCCCCTGGGAGGCTCCCCTTTCCCAATCAGACCTCTCAGCACCCTGTCCCCTAATGCACATCAGTAAAGCCCTTTAACTTAAAAAGACCCGTTAAAAAAAAAAAAAAAAAAAAAAAAAAAAAAAAACCATTAAGGAGGCTGACTTGGCCCTGTATGCTTATAAAACCCAGGTGAGAATCAGAGCAAGAGTCGCCACCCCCACCTGGGAGAGGACAGCCAAGGTCAGACACAGGTCAGGACTGAGCTGGAGCAGCAAGTGTATCCCATGCATAACCTGACCCAGCCTGACCCATCAGGGCTGACTGTGGGGCAGGGAGTGGGAACCGGGGGTGGGAGTAAAATAGGGAAGATTCCAGAAGGACCAGGGAATAATTATCTGCGGAAGCAGCAGAAAGAAATAACCAGCTCGTGACTTTGCACAAAGTGAGGACTCCCTGAGTGCAGGGCAGGGCCTGGCGCCTGGTGCTGACTCCTGAGGGCCTCAGCCTCCTCAGCCAGGCCCCGCTCTCAGGAGAGCAGAGGGACACAAGCAGCAAGGGTCCCTGGCCACCAGTGCTGCCAAAAACAGCAGCCAGGTCAGCAACAGCTGTGCCGAGAGCTGCACACATGGACAGCCTCGGTGGGACTGTGCTGGCTTACCAACGATGTCGGGTGTGTGACTGATGTCTGCCGTTAAAGTGGCCGTCTCCACCACAATGTGGGCCACCGTGATGGGCTCCTCCGGGCCTGCAACCGCTGGCACCACCTACCAAGGAGGCACAGAGAGGACTCATTTGCAGGGCTCCTGAGCCCCCTTGGCTTAGAGAGGGCAGGCTTGGGTTTACGTCCATGGGGGAAGGCTGCGGTGGGGCCTCTCATCCCCCTGAACACCTCTCCTGCCCCTGCACTGAACTCGCAGCCTGGTCCCTCCATGCCAGACCTCACTGGTCTGGCCCATCACTCAAATGCCTCTGACCACCGTGGGCCCAACACAGAGCACTGAGCACCCTTGTGGAGAGCTCCAGGAGCAAGTGACCAGCAACTCTGGCCTGAGGCTCAGCTGGCTGTGCAGGGATGAAGGTCAGCACCTACATCTGCCGTCCCCAGCCAGGGTACAAGGTACCAACGGAAAGAGCTCCAGGCATGTGGGATCAGGGGCCTTCCTAGAGGAAGGGCACCACTGGGAGGGGCCAGGAAAGAGCACAGGGTCAGAGTGAGAAAGCTATGAGCCTCATACCCTCTGGGCCACCCCCTGTGATGAGCTGAGGCTCAGAGCCTCCTTTCCCACCTCCATACCATGAGGATGTCGAGAATGCCCGCTGCAAGGGCGCTGTGGACCTTAATGCGACTGTGTATAGCCCGAGCATGCACACAACGCAACAAAGTTGGCCTTTCTTATGACAAGGTGGCAGGACCCTCAGAGCCACCCTTTGTGCGATCCCGAGGAACTATGTGTACAGGGTAGACCCTGAGGTCCCAAGAAAAGAAAGACCTTGATTGCGCAGGATCCAGGCAGAGGCTGCTGAGGAGGCCGGGCCCCCTGGAGCACTGCCAAGCTCTGGGGGTAGGGCCCAGATCCCCCCTGATCCATGATCAGATGCCTGCCCTCTGCCCAGCCCTGCACCACAGGGAACCAGCTGCACCCACACGCCCCCTCCCAGCTGTCAGGGGAGCCTGGGGATGCGCGGGGGCAGGATGGGCAGCTCACCTCCTGGCCCAGCAGTGCGCCAGCGGCAGGGGTTGCAGGCAGGGCCTCCTGAGGGGCCCGCTGGCACACTTTCTGGAGCTTGTGCTGAACAAAGTCTTCCAAGGCAGTGAACTCCGCCTGGCAGCGGCCACATCTGTGCACATCGTCCTCATCTGCAACGAGCCTGTGGTCAGTAGGGCTTGGGAAAGCCTCCAGCCCTAGGCCGAATCCACCCAAAGGTGCTCTCAGAACCAGAGGCTCTGTCCCCAGCCCTCCCAGAGGGGCTGAGGACACTCTTGGAGACCCAGGGTGCCAGCCCAATCTTCTGCAGATCTGCAGAAGTGGCGCCCACCCCCGAGAGAGCAGCATCCAGCAGGCGATGGCACTAACCACACAGTGAGGCTACAGCGGACCCACTGAGCCTATTGTGCCCCAAGCCCCCACTTTGGAGACGAGGGGACAGAGGCCCAAGGAGCAGCCGGGAGGTGGGAGGAGAGCTTCACCCATACCAGCTTGAGGACAGTGCAAGATGGGGGATTGACTGTTGGGGTTTACAGGTGTCCTTGGGCACCTCAGTGACCACGTCTGGGTCCATCTAATCATCCATAAAATGGTTCAACCCCGTGTGCGCAGAGCGTAGTGCAGATTAGTGGGCTTGTGCCCAAAGAGCTCATGCCGAGAGGCCTGCCCTCTGCAAACACGGAAGACGCAGGACAGCCTGACCCGTGACCCTCCTTCCTCACTGACTTGCTGCTTCATGGGTTCTGAATATGCAGGAGCTCCCTGTTCTCCTGAAGACACTCAGAGTGAAACTTCCCAGAGGAGCTCCACACCCCAGGCACATCACACCTGAGCCCCTCACCATGTGGGCGGACCAGCCAGTGCCTGCCCCAGGTCCTACAGGAGAGCCTTCCCTCCCACCGCATCCCTATTAGGTGCCAGGCACCCCCCTGGGGATGTCACCAAATCCAGCCAGCACCCTGGAGAAATCAAGATGAGTATTCTCATTCCAGAAAAATGACCTGAGTTTCCAGGCCCGCCAGCTGGGGTTAGGTTAGGTCAGAGCCTGAACCTGACGGTCTGCTCCAGATGCCCTGCCATTCGCACAAAGGGATGGGGGGATGTCCCTTGTGCTTCCAGGAAAGTGTGCCCGTCTTCACACCAAGGTGAAACCCAGGCCTGGCACACAGAAGGAGCCTGGCCAACGTCTTTTGAATAAATGAGCAAATGAAGCCTAAAGCACCAGCCATGACTGGCCCACAGAAGGCCACAGTCCCCTCTGGATGGCTCAGTCACGAGCCAAGCACTGAGGTGCCCACCACCCTCTTCACCATGCCACCTCGCTCCCGAGTCTGACTCAGAGTGGCGAGTGGAGGGAATGCCCCGCCCACACAGCGCTGGCAAGGCCCCAGCAGGGCACAGCAACCTCCAAAGAGGTCCCTCTGCAGGGTGGCACTGCCCTCCTCAGCTGGAATAAAGAGCAAAAAGAAGAACGTAGTGAGAATAAGAGTTCTTTGGAGACAGGGATGACCAGCCCAGCGTCACCCGTCAGCCCCCGCCTGCCTGGCCCAGGCTGGGGCCTCAGGAGATTAACTCAGAGGCTAGAGACCCCACTTCTGTCTGGAACGCTATCCGTGCAGCTGTGAGCTGTAAGCCGGCCCTGGGCGGCCACGGCTCTGCTCTCAGCGGGTTACCAGGGAGCCATCTGCCTTGTCACCACAGTCTGCGGGGCAGCACAGCCCACAGGTCAGGGACCGTAGCCCAGGGGTCACACGGTCCAGTCCTCGGTACCGTCAGCTGAGTGACCTGGTCTCTTTCACGTCTGTGAACCTCCATTTCCCTCGTCTACAAAACGGGAATAACAACAAGAGGCTCCAGGCTTGGGGTTAGAGCCCCAGCCCCGCCCCCCGCCCCCACCGCGGCCGGGGCTCTAGAGGCCGCCGGCTGCCCCCGGGGGGGGGGGGGGGCCCGGAGCAGGGCAGGGCCGTGGCCCCCCGTGAGCCTCCGTGCGCGGGCAGTGGGGCCCACCGGGTGACGGCGCCCCGGGGGTCCGCAAGGCACCGGGGTCTGGAGCGGTCCGCGCGTCCACGGCTCAGGCCAGCGGGGCCGCCTCCAGCCAGGACCAAGCCGTCCCCGCCCCGGCCGCGCCCGACCCCGTCAGGCCGCGTCAGGCCCTGTTACCTTCCTCGCTAAACGGCGCCGGGAGGCCCAGGAAGCCGCCAGGGGCCAAGGCCGCCGCCGCCGCCGCCGCCGCCGCCGCGACCCCGCCCTCGCCCGCCTCCCGCCCGGCTTCGGCCCGGGCTTCTGCCGTATGCGCGGCCGTCACCCGCACTGCCATTGCGCCCTCCATGTCGCAACGCGCCGCAGGAAGATGGCGGATTTACGACCGTGTCGTCATAACAACGGGCCGCGCTGGGGAGTGCGAGAGGGAACGCCGAGAGGACGACGGGGCGGGGCCAGGCGGGTTTGATGGACAAGCGGCGGCGGGGCGGAGCCTGGAGCCCTAGACTCCGGAAAGAAGGCACAGGGCGGGGCTGCTCGGGGGGCATGACTACGATGGCGCGGACGGGGGCGGGGCCTGGGCGGGGCCTGGTGTGGCTGGGTCGTGGCCGCGCGGAAGTGCGGAGGGCTAGTTCCCACAGCGGCGTCCCGCCTGCGAGCGATCCACGCGACACAGCCCCGGCTCGGACAAGTAGTGCGGCGCTCCCCGCCCCGGCCCCACCGCCTCGGGGTCAGAACCTCCCTTGCTGGTTGCTGGGTATCAGGGAAAACCCCGAATTGGGGCTGGCTCTCGGGGTGGTTTCACTGACCCTCTTACGCTTCCGATTATCTTTTAAGTCCTAATAAATGCACATAGGGGTATTTACCACTAGTGACATCGAGCGCGTTCTCCGTGTTGTGGGACCATCACCCCATCTGGTTACAGAACCTTGTCCATTCCAAAAGGAAGCCGGTCCCCTAGCACCCACCTTCCTCCTCCCCTACCCCCAGCCCCTGGCAACCACTCTGCATGGATTTGTCTTTTCTGGTCTTTCTCCTATAAACGGAATTACACATGTGGTCTTTCGCATCTGGCTTGTTTTGCTCAGCATAATGTTTTCCAGATTCATCTATGTTGTAGCATATATCCATGCTTCAATTCATTTTATAGCTGAATAATAATAATACTTCCTTCTCTGGATGGACCACAATTTATTCATCCATTGCTTTTGGGTCGTTTCCACCTTTTCCACTGTTATGAATAATGCTGCCATGAACACATGTACAAATTTTATTCTGAGATAGTATTTAGGTAACTTTTTGCAGCTAAGCACTTTACAGGACTCTTCATTTAAGAGATCACTTATCCCAATTTTAAAGATGAAGAAACTGAGGCACAGAACTGATAGGATGCTTGCCCGAGGGCAGACTGGAGACTCAAAGTCTGTCCAGAGCCATGGGCTGGAAACCCACAGGATGTGCTGTCCTTGCTCAGTTATTTTGTGACCCAGCCCAGGGCTGGATGCCAGAGACTCAGATGAATCAGAACTGGTCTCCTGCAGGAAGGCTATTCTCCAGGTAAGACCAAGCAGAGACACAGGGGCCCAGCTCTGCCCTGGGAAGGACATCAAGTAGACAGACACTGTCTCCATGCGGGGGCTGCTCCGCTGGGGCCCTGGGGACCCTCGGCCTGGCAGGAACTGGGATGTGTGAAGCACAGGTGAGATCCCTGCAGGGGGCGCTGAGGTAAGGATGAGGCTGCTTTCCACAGGAGGCTAGCTCACCATTTCATGAGTTTATGCAGAGGAGTGACAGCATTTCAAAAGGACCCCTCTAACTACTGTGCAGAAAAAGGACTTCGCAGCCACAGAAGCAGGGAGATCCCAGATGGATGGGCTCAGGAACAAACAGGAGGAAGAACGGGCGGGGGCACGTGGAGAGGGCTCTGGAAGGGAGGACCAGGACAACACCTCACTTAGGGTGGTGCTGAGGAATACTGGGGAAGCCTCCAGGAGAATGGAATAGAGAAAGGTCTCGAAGGCAGAGACAGCCTGAGTGTGGGTGAACATGAGGAGGGGCTGGCCCAGAGGACAGAGAGCCTGCCCTGCTGTGTGCTCTGGAGCCACCTCAGGGGCAGGCCGTGGCTCCCGCCTAGTGGCTCCCAGGGTGCAGCCTCATCCAGTGACTTCCAGGTCCTGCCTCAGCTAGAGCCCCAGCAGGCCAGTGGGCACAGGAGTGGGTAGGTCTGAGGTCCCTGAAAGGCAGAGCGGCCAGAGGAAAACAAGAAAACCCATCGGCTTCCTGCCGTCCTACCAGCCCTCAACGTGGGCTCCAGCTGCCCACTGACACTCAGGACTGTGTTACCTTGCCATGACCAGAGCCTGGAGGTGCTGTCATCCTTTATGGGGACTGCTCACTCAATCTCCGTTTGTTGGATGTACTTTAATTGATTTACCAGTCCCATGTTGAAGAATATGTAGTTTGCTTCCAAATTCTTTTTGCCACTTGAATCCTTTTTCAATGACTCCCATATTTACTTGGCTCATTAGAAGCAAAACCATCTGTGAAAACAGACTCAGTTGCTAGTTGCACTAATACAATTTAAATCCATCTACATCCCAGCCCCATTCAGCCCTCAGGCAGGGCTTCTTCATTTGGGGGAACCCCAGCGCCATCCATTCACAGGTGTACACTGAGCATCTACTGTGTGTCAGCAACACACCATGATCACGAGGTGCTCCCCTCCTACCCAGATACAGGGCACCACGGGCAACGTCAGCCTCTGCCCTTCAGTGCACCGTCCCTTCCAGCCACTTGCAGGATGGACCTTGTCCATAACCACCTCCTCTCTTGCTACTGACCATTCCACCTTTCCCACGCAGCAGGCGCCGTCCCTCCAACTCACAGGGGAAGTCAAAGCAAACAGGTGTACAGAGCTCCGTTCTGGAGTCAACTGAGTTTAATCCCAAGTCACCATTGTCCAGCTGGCGACTCCATGAGTGTACTCCAACCAAGGGGAACGAGTGCCCATGGCCACAAAGGACTGTGTAGGACCCATGACATTCATACGGGTATGATTGACAAAGCCCCCGAACTGGAAACAACACACTATCCACCCAGTGATCCACTGGAGAACGGACAAGAGGCACACTCTTCAAACAGCCCACAAGACCACACACACACAAGATGGACCTCACATCCGTGTCAATCCGCCGGAGCAGGCCCCATGGAAGGGTCCCGGGTGTAGGCCATCTGGAGCAGGGAAGGAGGCTATGACTCACTCTATGGTGATGGAGTCAGAGAAGCGGCGGAGGAGGGATGAGGGTGCTGCCTGGAGGGCGCTGTTGGGGAGCGCCCCGGCTGCAGCGGGGGTGTGCTTAGGGCAGGGGTGTAGGTGCCTAAAAACTCCATCCAGCTGCACACTCAAGGTGTATTCACTTTCCCGAGGGTCACGCCTGCATAAAAGTTCATCCTGATGCCTGATAACCATGATGACGGCGAGCGCTGCGTCCTGGGCAGTGTCCGCCTGGACACTAATCTCCCCGCCTGTAATCGCCCGGTCACATGACCCCGAGGGCGCCCCCACCGCCCGTGATTACCCGGTCACGTGACCACCCCGGGCGCTCCCGCTGCCTATAATTAGCCGATCACGTGACTGCGAAGGCAGCCCCGCCGCCGGCGATTACTCGGTCACCGCAGAGGCGCTCCCTCCGCCCGGTCGCTGCTCGGTCACGTGACCACCGAGTGCCACAGCCTGGTCACTACCCGACCACAGGAGCCCCGAGGCCCCGGGCTGACCCTGAGCCCCGGCCGCCTCGGGCGCACGCGCCAGCCCCGTGTCCGCAGCGTGTCCGGGGCGGAGAGCACGGCCCGGCGCCGCCCAGGCAGCGGTGAGGACCTGACTCTGGCCCGGGGGGGCCCGCGGCTCCCCCGCCAACACGTCCTGCCGCGCTCCCGCCAATCGGCAGACGGCCTGGCCCGGGGTCACTCGGCTCGGGGCTCCCGTCACCTAAGCTGACCGCGCGCCGCCAATGGGCGAGCCGCCGCGGAGCCGCCAATGAGCGGCCGCCTCCGGCCCTGCGCCGGCCCGGGCGCCTCCGCAGCGCTTCCGCAGTGAGCGCCCCAGGCCGAGCGCCGGTTGGCTCCCCGCCAGCCAATCACGGGGCGCCCCGGGCCCGGCAGCCAATGGGCGGCTGGCGCCGGGCTCCCGCAGCCCGCGGAGGCGGGGGCGGATTGGCGCAGGCGGCGGCCAATGGGCGGCGCGCGCGAGGAGCGGGGCCAATGAGCGCGCCGGGGGCGGCGCGGGCGCGGCGGCGGGCGGCCGGAGGAGCGGCCGGTGGCGGCGGCGGCGGCGGAGGCCGGGGTCGGCGGGCGGCCATGGCAGCGGCGGAGGCCGGCGGTGACGACGCCCGCTGCGTGCGGCTGAGCGCCGAGCGGGCCCGGGCGCTGCTGGCCGACGTGGACACGCTGCTGTTCGACTGCGACGGCGTGCTGTGGCGCGGCGAGACGGCCGTGCCCGGCGCGCCCGAGGCCCTGTCGGCGCTGCGGGCCCGCGGCAAGCGCCTGGGCTTCATCACCAACAACAGCAGCAAGACGCGCCAGGCCTACGCCGACAAGCTGCGGCGCCTGGGCTTCGGCGGCCCGGCGGGGCCCGGCGCCGGCCCCGAGGTGTTCGGCACGGCCTACTGCACCGCGCTCTACCTGCGCCAGCGTCTGGCGGGCGCGCCGGCCCCCAAGGCCTACGTGCTGGGCAGCGAGGCCCTGGCCGCGGAGCTGGAGGCCGTGGGCGTCGCCTGCGTGGGCGTGGGGCCCGAGCCGCTGCGGGGGGACGGCCCGGGCGCCTGGCTGGACGCGCCGCTCGACCCCGACGTGCGCGCCGTCGTGGTGGGCTTCGACCCGCACTTCAGCTACATGAAGCTCACCAAGGCGGTGCGCTACCTGCAGCAGCCCGGCTGCCTGCTCGTGGGCACCAACATGGACAACCGGCTCCCGCTCGAGAACGGCCGCTTCATCGCGGGTCCGTGCGGCGCGGGGGCGGGGGGCGGGCCGGGGTCCGGGGGGCGGGGGCGCGCTGGCCCTCGGTGCGCGCTGACCGGGCTGCTCTCCTCCCCTGCCCTACCTGTCCGCCCCGCAGGTACCGGCTGTCTGGTCCGAGCCGTGGAGATGGCCGCCCAGCGCCAGGCCGACATCATAGGGAAGCCCAGCCGCTTCATCTTCGACTGCGTGTCCCAGGAGTACGGCATCAACCCGGAGCGCACCGTCATGGTGGGAGACCGCCTGGACACGGACATCCTTCTGGGCGTCACCTGTGGCCTGAAGACCATCCTGACCCTCACCGGAGTTTCCACCCTAGGGGATGTGAAGAGTAATCAGGAAAGTGACTGCATGTCTAAGAAGAAAATGGTCCCTGACTTCTATGTTGACAGCATAGCTGATCTTTTGCCTGCCCTTCAAGGTTAAAGATTTAGTGTCTTTAATCTCCAGAATAAAACGAATTGAAAACCACTTAACCCAAATTAATAGGTGGGGCTTCAGCATCTGCTCAGCTAGGTGGCTTCGAAGAGTAAAGGCACTAGTTGTTAACCTTGTAAGTAGACGATTGGGGGGCGATGTTGTTTACAGACACTTCTGTTTGAAGATGCACTTTTAAACCTGGAGGGCATTGTGGGGGTCCTGGGCATTGGGTGCCATTGACAGGGGCAGGCTTAGCATCTGTCCAGGACTCCGGTAACCTCAGGGCAGGGGGTTACCCAGCCTGCCAGTGGGACCCAGGCAGGTCTAGGGATGTTAGATGTTTTATGGAAAATTTCATTCAGGGATCGCCCCCCCCCCTTTATGGGCTGGAGGGGAGGACAGTCTGATTATTTTGACAGTTGTGAGAAACTTGTACGAACCGACCCAAGGCCCATTGGTGTGGCCACCTGCAGGTGAGCCTGCTTGTAGCATCCCACTCCTCACCTGTGGGGTGGAAGTGAGGCACAGGGCCACTCCCAAGTGCTATCTTCCTGTTCTTGGGGTGCAGGGTGCTGAACTCCCCGCCACCACCCCACACTTCCTTAAAAACCACTCTGATGTCATAATAAAGTGTCTGTTCCGTTTCAGATACCCAGGGCTGCCACACCTCATATGTGGTCACAGAGTTCTGTAAACTCAGTCCAGCTAAGCCTCAGCTTAGTTTAAATCTAGCTGATTTAGACTAAACATATATGTTGTTAGCTGAGCGGTCAAGAGGGTGTGGATGCCTTTGCTGAATTCTGGGCGGCTGTGCAGAGAGCTCAGAGTAGCATTGGTACCAAAAATTGTGTTTTTTTAAAACTTTTGAACAATTTTTGTCAAACGGTGGAACTGAATCTTAAGTGTGTTAATTAATAGCTGTGCTCTGTCTCATAGGGAAAATCCCACTGAAGAAGTCTGTGTGCCCCGCAGCCAGCAACACAGCTAAAGGCGTGTGCTGGCCAAGGAATTGCCTGTCGCCCGGGTTGCCCGGGTTGCCCTCTGGGTGGGGGAGGAAAGAGGTGTCCCCAAGAACAGGAAATTCTTTTAAAAAGCATCCAATCTCTTCCTGTTCTCCTGTACCCTCGGTTGGGAGGGGCGGGGGCTAGACACCAGTGGTCCTTGAGGCCACTTATCTTGGCTCTGGCGTCCCTTGTTGGAGGCCAGCAGGAAGACTGGCAGGGTCCACCTGCTAGTGAAGGGCTCTTGGCAGAGGGCCCCAGCCTTTTCTGCCTGTTCCCGAAGTTGCTGACCTGATAAGCAGACTGTCCAGCTGCACTTGTAGGGTAAGGCCTGGGAAGCTGTTCCTTTTGGCAGACTCCTTCCCAGCGCCTCACTCTGTATCCAGTGGCATTTGCCCACAAGCTTCTCTGCTAGCCCCAGGGTCACTCCTTCCCTCATTCTTGAAGTTCGCATAGCAATAAAGGGTGTCCTGAACCCGCAGCTCTTCCCAGGCCTGGGGTGTCTGGGGTTTGGACTCTGCTGTGGGCAACGTGAGGGCAGCCAGCACCTGTGAGGTTGGTGGTGCTGACGTTGGCTCTGCGAGGTTGGCTCAAGGTGGGTCTGGATATTGAGCAGGCCTGTCAGGGCGTTGTCACCCACACCAGGAGCACGCAGCAGGTGTGGCAGGCAGTAACACTCCTGCTGGGCAGTGGCCCGGGAGCCCACGTGCACTCCCCATCTCTGCCCCCATTGCACTGTGTGAACCCAAATGCATATTAAACTCTCAAACCCACGCTGACTCTGGCGTCTTTGCCCTCGTTTTGACAGCAGCCTTTGCACAAAGGCTATATGGCCACCTAGCCCAGCTCGGGGCAGTGAGGGTGGGGGCAGGGGTGTCTGAGGAGGAGTTCTGGGATTCCAGCATCCTGGGCCCGTTACAGAGGACTGGGTTCAGGAGAATCAGGAAGACAAGGCACAGAGGAAAGGAAGAGAGGGCCACAGGGTGAAGGGGGTGAGGAGCACACCTCCTGCAAGCTGCCAGGGCCAGGGGGAGCCTTGACTTGGAATCCACAGCATCAAGAAGTTGGAGATGTGAGGAGCAGGGCCACAGGGGAAGTCACCGTGGGCAGGGCAGGGGATGGCTGACAAGGCTGACCTCACCATGCAGCCCAAGGTGTGTAGAGTCAGCTGCCTGGAAGCCACTCTGGTCTCAGACCTGTGGGTTGCGGCTGCAGGTACATAGGACAGGACAGAGGCAGCAGGGACTCCTGTACCCGTCATTCACAAAACGCTTTTATTGATGGTTTGCCATGTGCTGAGCCCTCAGAATCTAGAAGTAACTCTAGACACTGGAACAGCCTCCTGAGGAAAATTAAGTCTGCTCCCAGACTATAAAGTCGTCCTGCCTTGGGCCTGGGCCACCCTCGGTGCCAATCTGTGGGACTTGATTTCCATGACACAGCCATGCTCTCTGGTCTGCACAGGCCGGGTGTCAGGGCAGCTAGGCACAGCGACAAGCACCCCCCACCCCCACCCCAAGGAGTGGGGGGGCTGTCCTGGCTGCAACCCTGATATCAGGTGGCTGGGCTGGTGGGAAGCAGTGGGGTCAGGAGGGGAGGGGGCCGGGAGCGTTATTTGGCTCATCGCAGGTGTACTAAGGTTTCGCTAGCTGACTCCAAGGGGCAGCAGACAATCACCGCATTGTCACCAGGGCTGCAGCATGGAGCAGAGGCACTGCTGTGAGGAGAGCCCCAGGCCCAGGCCTGTCCAGGTGAGTGCCTCCAACCACCCAGCACCCTTTCCTAGAACAGAGACCCAGGGCACTGCCCTGGGCAGGGGACAGGAGGGCAGTGCCACTGTGTATACCTCGGCCTTGGCTTTTCTGAGCCAGCCTGCTTCCCGGTCTCTGCTCTGGCCCCACTGACCGCACTGTGCCCCCCAGGTGAAGACTAAGCACTGCCATGGGGGCTGGAGAGCCACTGGCCTGCTGCTACTGCTAGCACTGGCCGCTGCTGGGGCTGTGGCTGGAGGGCTTCTTGGCTTCACGCACAGTCCTCCCAAGGTGAGTTCCCCCTGGGGAACTGGCTGGGGGCACAGACAGTGGGAAGGGGAAGGAGAGGCAGGACATCGCAACCCTCCACTGGAGCCAGGGCTCAGAGCAGTGGCAGGAGGACCAGAGGGCTGGAGGGGTCCAAAACCTCAAGTAGAACTGGGGGGAGTGTCAGGGGCTGCCCCAGCCTGCCCAGCTGAGTTCTGGCTTCCCGATCTCAGCCTCTGCTACAGATGCTCCGTCTGACCCTCCCAAGCCCTGGGGCAACCTGGCCCAACCAAACTGCCCAGGTGGATGCGGCCCGGGACGTGGCAACCATCTGGGTGACCTCAGTGAAGAGCAACCACAGCTGGGCAGTGCTGTTCGATGGGCCGAGCGTGAGTGGGTTGGGGGTGTGGTCAGCACCCACAGGTGTTGGGGTGGCCCTGACTCACCGGCCTGCCTCCCCAGGGCTGCGTCTGTTACCGGCCCCTGGAACACCAGGCCTGCTTCCTCCGCCTGATGGAGCCCCGAGATCGCAAGACCCTACAGCTGCTGGTGAACACCTCAAGGGTAAGCAGCCCCATGCGGCCAGGCTCCCCACGGTCAGGGGCCAGACAAAGGGTCCTGTGTACGGCCCAGGCCTGGGGCGGGCTGGAGCTCTGGTTTCAAGGAACAGAAGTTCTGTCTTCCCTTGGCTGAGTCTGCTAAGAGTGGAGCGTGCCGCTGGCATTGGGCCAGCACATCCAGGGGGAACGCAAACGCCCCTGTGCCGCGGCCCACCAGAGCCTTCTCCGCAGGCTCAAGGGTCTCACGGCCCCAGCCACGACACCCACCATGCCCAGGAGCTGCTGGCAGTGCTGGGGAACCACGAGGTGGACCCTGCCCTGGTGGGGGATTCGGTGCGGCACCTTTGCACGAAAACTCCCATTTACTGGGCCCGTCGAGCAGAGGGTAAGTCGGGATGGTGGTGTGAGGCCTGGGCTCCTGCAGAACGGTCTGGAGAGAAGGACGAGGAGCCCTCTAGGGTTCATGGAGGCCCCTTCCTCCAGGTCCCCGGAGGCAGCGGCTGATCTACCTGTGCATCGACATCTGCTTCCCCAGCAACATCTGCGTGTCGGTCTGCTTTTATTACCTCCCAGACTAAGTTCCAGCCTGCCCAGCCCCACAGGCCAGCCAGCTGGCCAGCCCCGTCACCGGTCACAGAGGGTGGCTGGCAGCGGGGTCTAATAAACCCTCCATCTGGCCGTGATGCTGTTCTCTGTGGCCTCAGGACACGAAATGGGCAGGGTGGGGGGCCGGGGGGGGGGTGCACTGGCTGGGGGTTGGACACCGGCTTCAGACCCCCTAGGCCTTGTGGATCTGGAATTCCTGAAGCAAGTGCCGGCTGGCTGAGGTGGGCTTCCTGAGCCTTGTCACATCCACAGAAGCACCCAGGAGGAGCTGAGAGACTCCCAGGGCATACTGGCCTGCCCAGTCTAGGCTAGCCGAGGGACCAGGGTAGGCCAGTCAGGTCCAGCTGGCTAGGCTGGCGGAGGCTAGCCGCGGAGCTTCACTCTGAGCTGGGCAGATGTGTTCCACAGGTGCTCCCTGCTCAGCCGCCTGCAGTCCCAGGGGGGGCACAGGCTAGCCCAGCACGCTGTCATTGAAGGCCAGGCAGACGACAGCTTTCTGGTGGCCACCATACTCCCTCTTGATCTCTCCTGTCTCCACACACCAGAGGCGGGCCAGGTTGTCAGAGGAAGCTGTGGGGAGCGGTGTAGGCAGCAGCTCAGGGCACAGACCCAGGCCAGGCAATGCAGGGGGGGGGGGAGGTGGCGGAGGGGGGAAGGGGCGGCTGGGGGTGGTGCTCACCCGTGACGATGTACTGCGAGTCCCCCGAGAAGGCACAGCCCCACATCCAGCCTCGGGATGACTCTCCTGGGTTGCTGCTCTTGATGCTCAGCTCTGTCATCAGAGAGAAGTTGGATGTCCTCCAAATCTTGCACGTCTGGTCGGCGGAACAGGTGGCGAGAAGCCTAGGAGTGGGCGTGAGTGCGGTGGGGGTGTCATCAGCAGCCACTCCCACCCTGCACCCCTCTGCCATCCGCAAGACAGGCTCCCTGCCACCCAAAGGCTCCAGCCCCCCAGACCCTGTACGCACGTAGAGTCAGGGCTGAAGCGGCACTGCAAGGCATAGCGGGTGTGCGCTGGGATCTTGGTCTTGGGGATGAGCTGTGTCACCTCGTCACCAATGCCCCCAGTCAGATTCCAGACATAGCAATTCCCCTGCAAGTAGGAGGGACGCCAGAGCAAACCTGGAGCTTCTAGTCTGACACACAGGGAAGGGTACCCTGGTGGCTAGCCCCAGGTACGGGGGGCTGCCCTCCAACACGGGGTGGCACCACAGCTCTGGGGGCCGGGGACATGTGGCAGGCACACCCAGTCCTGCCTGCCGGGAAAAGCCAGCAGGCTGGGAGCAGGAGACCACGCCTGGCCTTCGTGGAGAAAGCTGCCGGCCAACAGGAATGTGAATGATGCAATGGGAGCAGGGCACCTCAGATAGAGGGAAGAGCAGGAGGGCAGTGTGGGGACACCAGGGTACAAGTGATTCGTTGAGATGTGAGGGATGTTAAAGGGGAGAAAAAGAGGCCAGACAGAATATCGAGGCCAAACCGCAGCGTCCTGAGGTCCTGAGGTCATGGTGAGGAGCCAGGGCGCCACAGGGTTTGAGCAGGGAATGAGGCCGTCAGGCAGGTGCCGCTGAAGGCTGTGCGGGCAGTGGACGGAGAGTGGTGTGGGGGCAGAGTGTGTCAGCGAGGAGGCACGGCAGCCACAGAGAGGCTCTAGCCGCTGTGCGGGGAGACAAGGCAAGCTGGGGCCAGGAGGAGCGGGGAGGAGAGGGAAGTAGACAGACTTGAGAGGTTCTGGAGGTGGAAGTGACGCCCGCTGGATGAGCTATGGCAGTAGTGAGGGGGGCGTCAGGAATGACACCCAGCTTTCTGGCTTTGGTGGCTGTTGGAGCTGGAGCCAGGATGAGGAAGCAGGCCTGTGGGGGGTGGGGGAGTCTGACGGAGCATCTGGGGAATCAGCCACGTGCAGGGAATGAGGAGGATAAGGGAGCGGGCACTCAGTCCCAGGACTCACGGTGCTGTTGACGGCTGCCATGTAGCTGGCGTCAGGGTCAATGTGGGCAGACGTGATGGAGACCTCGGGCTCGGGAATCAGCTGCTCGTTGTGGTCAGTTTTCAGGTCCCAGATGTGGATGGCGCCGCTCTGGTCACCCACGATGAGCTCTGCCTGGGGTGCAGGGGAGGTGAGGGAGGGCAAGTCCCCTGCCCTCCAAAGCCCCATGGTGCCCGGCCCTGTGAGTACCCCTCACCTGGTTGGGGTGCAGGCACACGCAATTAATGGGTGCATTCACCTGGAAGATCCGCTGACACTGCAGGTTCCGGGACCTTTAGGGTGGGCATATATGCTGTATGGCATGCTATTGGCACCCACCATGTGGCTCCCACCCACCCACCGGCCATTTTCACTTGCTCCTCTGCTGATCACGGCGGCCTTACCAGAAACCCTAGGGAGATTCGGCCCTCCCCTGGGACAGCCCCCTGCTCCAGATGGGACTCATTCTGATGCAATTCACTGTCCAGAGCTCCCTGTGGCATCAGGCTGAGGCTGGGCTTGTCTGTGTGTGCTTCGGCCCTGCCCTATCCCACCTTTGTCACTACCTTCAATAAGCCACCCTCACAGAAAAGCCTGCCTCAGCCTCTACTTGGAGTGCCCTGACCCGAAACAGTCTCCTGGCCTGGTCCCAACCCCCACACAGCAACAGGCCCCTCCTGCCCGGTGCCCCATACCTGAGGTCCCAGATCCGGGCCGTGCAGTCCTCCCCACCCGTGTACATCCAGCGGCCGTCCTCATGGAAGCCCACGGACGCGATATTCTTGTTCACCCCGTCGTAGCTGATGATGGGGTTGGGGTTGTTGGAGCTGAGATCGTACATGCGAATGTGCTGATAACCTAGGGGCACAGGCTAGACTGAAGGGTGGCTGCGCCCAGGTCGGCCCACCCGAGAGCAGGGGTCGGGCTGAGGGCACAAGTACCTGCAGCCGCGATCATGCTGCGGTCTGGCGTGATCTCCAGCGCGTTCACCTGCTAGGTCTGTTAAGGAGGATGATGAAGCCTGGACGCCCCTGCCATCTGGCTCAGCTGCCGCATCCTTTCCCCCCACAGGCACCTCTCCCCTGGCGGGTGCTGTACCCCACAAGTCATCCTTCCGAGGACCGCCCTCCCCACCTCCCCAGTGGAGGATACAGAGTCCTGATGCTGTACCGTGCGGGTGCAGATCCCACTGTGGGCCTGCCAGAACCGCACCGTGTGGTCGTAGCCTGCAGTGGCCAAGATGACGGGGTCACTGCCCACTGTGCCCGGGGACGTGTTCATGGTGGGGAAGAAGGCTGGGGCCTGCACAGGACCCGACTTCGGAGAGGCGGGGGTCAAAGGTCAGAGCACCTGCAGAAGAGAAGGGGGTGCAGTATTTAGCCAATACGCTCTAGGTCCACTCGGTGCTGATGGGCATTATCATTCCCATCTCAGAGGCAGGGAAACAGGCTCAGATCCAGGGAACGCGTGACAACCTGCGGACAGTGGCGACCTCCAAGCCCCGCGCTCCGTCCCCCGCCCCGCCCCGCGGCCGTCACGCCACCCCACCCGCCGCCGGCAGGGGGCAGTCACGCCCGGGGCGCCGCTCTGCCGCAGGGGCGGGCCGCGCATGCGCCCGGCGGCGGGCGGCCCGGAGAGGCGAGCCGAAGGCAGCGGCTGCGCATGCGTAGCAGGCCGGCGGCGAAGCCCGATGGGAGGGGGCGCTCTGTGGCCGAACCCTCGGGCTCCGCTGTGCTCCGGCGGCGGCCCCGGCTCCGTCCCGTTGGCCAGCGCCGCCCGGGCACGCCCTCCTGGCCCCCCAGCAGCCGTCTCCTGGCCCTCGTCCCGCGGCCCCCGTACCTTACATGCGACTCTGCGCTCCGCTGCGGCCCAGGACTGCGAGCGGAGCCAGAGCGAGTCGATAGAGGCCGTGGCCGAGCGTCGAGTTATCGATGGGCCCTTAAGGCAACACCACAGGGCTTAGGCGGGGGTGGGGCGAGGCCGAAGTTCTGGGGCGGGAGGAGCTCGGCGGGGCCTGGGGGTTTGGGGCCGCAGCCCAGTCTGCGCCCGCGCTCGGGCCCCGCAGCTCTGGCGGCCCCGTGTTCCAGGCCGGGCCCGCCCCGCGCGGCCAGGGTGCCCCCGCCCAGCTAACAGGTGGATTTCAGAGAAGCACCAATAATTTTTTAAAAATTGTTTTGGTTTAAGTATATCCCAAGGATCACATGAGATATACTTATACTAAAAAGCTAGTCGTCGTCTATGAGGAATCGGAACGCAGCCGGCTGTTCGGTGGTTTTATTTGCTAGCGGGGCAGCCCCAGCGTGGGCCCCCCGCAGCCTCCCGACCCCTCCCGACCCCTCCGGCCTTGGGCCCTCGGGCCTCCTGTCCCCTTCGGCGCTCCCGCCCACCTGGCACAGTGGCCGCACCCTCCTAAACCGAGAAACGGTCCCTGTCCTGCGACGCGGCTCTCACAGAGGCTTACAGGCAGCTGCACCCCCCCTCCTCTGGCTCCTCCACCAAGGCCACAGGCCCCGCTAGGCCCCGCTAGGCCCCCAGGCCCCAGGTCGGAGGAACCTTCCCGTCGCCCCGGTCCCCCTCCAGCAGGCAGTCTGCTCGGGTCTGCCCACGTCTCTGACCCCCAGTCCTCGCTTCTCACTCTCCAGCCCACTGTCATCCTTTGTTCCGCCTCTCCAGGGAAAATATCACAAGGTCGCTGGCGACTCCACACAGACGAACCAGTGGATACTTCTCTTTCTGCATCTTGACGCGTCTGCGTGGTGCTCAACAGTTTTGCTCCAGAAAGTCTCCCTTGCCACTTGGCTTTCTCTGCCGTCACTGGGAGGCCCGTCCCCTCCAGAGTTCTGGTCTCTGCATGCCACTCACCCTGAGGGTTCAACTTCCCCTCTCCGGGGCTTCCAATACCAGCCCTGTTCTGGGGCCTTCCACCTTGTCTCCCGCTCACATCCAGCTCCCTTCCAGACACTGTCCCTTGAACTCCCCACAGTCCCCTCCCTTTCCCATGGCTGAGACAATTCATATGGCCCTACCCCAAACAGCCTGCCTTTCTGTATGCCGGTGTCCCCCGTGTGTTACAACTAGGTGATCCAGCTACATCCATCACCCCCTCTCCCAGAGCAGCCTCCTACCCTGCCTCCCTGCCCCCAGCCAGGCTGTCCTTCACATGGCAGAGTGGTCTTTTAGAAACCTAGAAGCCTTCATGGGTCCCCCTTCACCCCCCAGACCCCTGCCCCCTGCCAACCTTGCAGCTTTCTCCTCCCTCCACTCCAGAGGCCGTGTGCTTCATCCTGCGAAAGCCGACAGCAGCACACACTCCCTCCTGAACCCTTCCCCTCGCTGTGCCGAGGACGCTTTCCGGATACCTCTGTACCTGCCAAAACTCGGGGTTGTCAGCACCTTTGTAGCACTTTGAGGGTTTATTCTGTGGGAAGCATTACATTGGGGTTTTTGTTTTAATTGAGGCAAAATTCATACACTATAAAATCAATGACTTTTACATTTTTTTCATTTACTTTTTTAAGTAATCTGTTCAATGTGAGACTTGAACTTGTGACTCTGAGATCAAGAGTTGCATGCCTTCCCAACTGAGCCAGGCGCCCCTGAAATTCACCTTTTTAAAGTGAACAATTCACTTAAAACATGAGCAGTGCTGTGCAGTCACTACCTCTGCCTAGTTCCAGAACATTTTCATCACCCCACCCTGTACTTCTATGCAGTCTCTCCCCATTACCTGTCCCCCCTTAGCCTCCCAACTCCTGGCAAACACCAAGCTACTTTCTATCTCTATGGATTCGCCTATTCAAGATGTTGCATGGAAAGGGAACCTTCCAATATGTGACCTTTGTGTCTGGTCTCTCGCCAAGCTACTGCCAGGTGGTAGCAGGTGTCAGAGCTTCATTCCTTTTTGTGGCCAAATAATATTCTGTTGTGTGGCTGGACCACGTGTTGTTCACCCACTCACCTGCTGATGGACATGACTTGTTTCCACCTTTTGGCTATTACGAAGGATACTGCTGTGAACATCCCCGGACGAGTGTGTCTCTGAGTACCTGTTTTCATCTCTCCGTGTACTAGGAGTGGAACTGCTGGGTCACATGGTAACTCTATGTTTAACTTTTGGAGGAACCGCCAGACCGTGCTGAACGTTTTACTGCATTACGCACCAGGTCCTCACAACGGCCCTGCCAAGGAGAAACCACCGTCATTTTGGAGACAAGGAAACTGAGGTTCAGAGATGTGCAGTCTATGTTCTAGGACGCAGCTGGAACGTGAAAGAACCCATCCTGCTGGCTCAGCTCCCCTGACCTTGCCCCTTCGGGGCCGCCCCCACACCTCGCATGTCCTCCTCCTTGTCCTCCTTTCTGAGCACAGGAGCCCTGCTGGGCTCAGAGGCAGCTCTGATGCATATGTGGGGTCGGAAGGCTGGGAGAGTCAGAGCTCTGTGCACCCCAGCATCGGAAGGGCATCCGGAGCAGTGCGAACACACAAAAGAGCCTGAGAGCAGGAGAGGGGGGGCTCAGGGAAGGCTGGAAGGCTCTCCCACATGTCTGTGCAGTCCCACGTGTGTCCTGGAGGCCAGGCCCTGGGCTGTTGGCCTCTTCTGCGGGGCTCTGGGTAGAGCCTGGGGACCGCACAAGTCCCTTGCCTGGGCTTAACTGACAGATAGGGCGGGGGCCCCCTACCCAGCCTGAGCAGCCTCAGCACCTCTGCTGGGGCGGGGAGAGGGGCCAGGACGCCCAGTTGTTGATCCCTTCTTATGTACCAAGCACCAGCTGAGCGCTCTACAGGGGCAGCGTCTGCGAGAACAATAGAAACCACAGCCCGGCCTGCCAACCTGTGCTGCGTGCTCCCAGCAGCCCTTGGGGAGGGTACATCTGTCATTTTATACAGAGGGGGCCAGGCGCCAGGCCCTGGGGGCTGCGGGGGCACCAGGGAGGAACACCAGGGGCATCTCCAGCTGCCGGGCAGGAGCAGGGGTGGCGCAGGCCGCCGGTGGAGATGGCCATGCAGCTGGGAAGGGGGCCAGCCTGGGCTGCAGTGAAGCACCGCCAGCCCTCCTCCAGGCTGGGCTTCTGCAATTCTGCTGGCTCAGCAGCCCCTCCTCCCGGGATCCTCCGATGCCTGACTTCCTGGACCGCTGCCCAAGCCCCACGCCTCTGCATCTACATCCCCTAGCCCAGGCGGCTGGCCTGCCATGCAACCCCCATCCTCAGGCTGGGGGGACCCCAGGCAGATGCACATCTCTGTTTTCATGTGGACCCTCCCATCGGCCCTGGGCTGCAGGCAGAGCTGCTGGCCCATTTTACAGATGAGGCGGCGGGGTTTCAGGGCTTGTCCAAAGTCACTGGGCTGACTGGTGGCAGATCTAGGACTTCTTGACACCCCCCCCCCCAGGCCATTACCTTCACGTGGCAGAGTGAATGAATCTAGCAGAGTCTGTGGAGCTCTCTTCCCAGGTCTGTGTTCCTGAAGAAGGACTCCACAGCAACGTACCCCCTCGTAGGCCTGGGGAGTGACCATGGGGTGCCTGTTTGCAGGGTATAGATAGGGCTGGAGCTGGGCAGCTGCGGCGGGACCAATTCATCACCCAGAGGAATTAGAGAATTCTAATTTGGAACTTAGCCTTTCAGGTCATGGTGAAGGTATATTTGCAAAGGTAGGAGGATGGGACATCTTTTACTTAATGAGTTGTTAGCATGGTTTATGACATTGAAATATCTCGACATCAGGTGTGTGGGTCTCTGTTTGTGCCCTTGCCCCAGGCCCCGCAAATGCTGGGCTCAGGCTGGAGTGGTTTGCCGTAGTCAGCCGAAACATAAAAATAATGGTCAGGATGATAGCTGTCTTTTCACTTGTCTTTTTTGCAATGCTTCTTGTGCACCAGGCACACCGCTAGGCTCTGCAGCTACAAAGACGAGTAAAATACAGTCGCTCCCAGGTAGGGAGAGCCAAGAATATCACAATATCTGCAAAAGCCATTTATTGAGCACTTATTAAGCTCTACTGCGAAGCGCTTTATGGATAGCAGCATCACGACTAATCCTCAGACAACTTAGAGAAAGCTATCCTTCTCAACCCCATTTTACAGAGGGGAAACCAGGGCTCAGAAAGACCACGTGACCAGAAAAACAAACCTGGTCAAAGGCAGAACTGGGACAAATGCTGAGGTGAGTGGGGGTTCAAAGCTCAGACTCACGATCTTGAGATTCTGAGACCTTAGGCAGGTCACTTGGCTTCCTGGAGCCTCCATTTTCTTCATCTGTAAAATGGGCACAATCTGCAAAGTGACCAGCATGGTGCCTGAGCCAGCAGATGCCTAGAAATTGGTCACGATAAAGCATGGGGGGGCCCAGGCCTTTGTGTTTAGGGACCACCCCTGGGGAGCCCAGCATGTGCTGGGAGACCTAAGTTTGCTCCCTAAATCCCAAGGAAGACCCCTTGTTGGCACTGATCAGCTGTTTGGATCAGGAGGTCCTGGTGCCTGCTGCTCCCCCCACCCCCAAGGCGGCCACCTTCTTCCTGGCCCTGATTGATGGTCTGGCCATGGGAAGAGGGGTGTCAGGCCATCATATGTGCAGACCCCTGCAAAAGCTCCTGCCAGCCTTGCCCTGGTGGGGTGATGGTCTGAAGGGGTCAGAGGGGTGAGACACCTGTGTGTGTGTGTGTGTGAGTGTGTGTGAGTGTGTGTGTGTGTGTGTGTGTGTGGCAGGCGGGGGGGGGGGGGGGGGACAGGAAGGAGGGAGTAGGGACTGGTCAGTAGGAACCCAGTTGGTGGCTGGAGGCGGCTGGATAACAGACTTGGTGGGGGGTCAGACTGCAGCTGGGGATGGGGCTGGGGATGGGGGACGGGAGGTCTGTGGGGCTGCACCCCGGTGAGCGCTGGGGGG